GCTGGGGTCCGGTGATCCTTCCGCCTCAGCTTTCCAAGTAGCTGAAACTACAGGCATGCGCTACCACACTCAGCTAATTTTTTTGATTTATTGTAGAGGTGAGGTCTCACCAAGTTGCCCAGGCGGGTCTCGAACCTGCGGGCTCAGGCAATCCACTCTCCTCGGCCTCCCAAAGTGCGGGATTACAGGCTGAGCCACCGAGCCCGGCTTAATTTTTTGATTTATTATAGAGACAAGGTCTCATCATATTGCCCAGGCTGGTCTTGAACCCGTGGGTTCAGGTAATCCTCTCATTTCTGCCTCCCAAATTGCTGGAATGTCAGGCATGAGCCCCTGTGCCTGGCCCTTCCATTTTCTTACAGTCCCCTGTAAACCCCCATCATCAAGGAGCTCTCAGAGGAGTGTGCGTCAGCCACAGAGCTGGTAAAGGCAGTGCTGGGACTCGGGCTTCCCAGCACCAGGCTGTACAGGAGGGTGGTCCTGCCAGAGGCCCAGCATGTGCAAAGGCCCAGGGGTGGGAGACGTGAGAGGGAACCTGTGTGTTCTCTTCGACCTGGCAGTGGCTCTGGGAGGGGCAAGGATTGAGGAAGGAGACCTTGAATGCCAAGCAAAGGAGCTTTTGTCTTGGCTGGAGGTCAGTCCTGTGAGGAGGCTTGGGGCAGAATGGGGCTGGATCCTGACTGTGCCTCTGGCTCGCTGTGAGGCCTTGGACAAATAACTAGCCCTCTCTGTTCCTCACTTTCCTCCCTGTCGCCCGGGGTAAATGCCAGTGCCCGTGCACAGGCGTGTCACGAGGTGGGTGTGGTTAGTGTTTATAGGGCACAGGGCAGGGCAGGCACACAACAGTGCGCTGCTCGTGGATACTGGGCCGTGTTTGTCACCAAACTGAGGGGTCAGGATGGACCTGGGCACAGTAACGGGTCTGGGGAGGAGGCGCCTCTGGAGCCCCTCAGGTGCCCTCTGCCCTGCCAACTCAGGCCACCCGAGCCCTCTCTGATCCACCCTGTCCGGACCTGGCACGGGGACACCCCCAAGGTCACATCTGTGTTCTCATTCGCACCCGGCCTCTGTCTTGCTGTGCGAGACGCCCCCCGCTGAGCCTCCAGCCCCCTCCTCCGGCCAGCAGGCATCCTGACCCCATCCTCCCTGCCTCCAAGGGCGAAACAGGCCCGAGCTGGAGGAGTCACGTGAGCAGCCTTCCCCAGAGGGGCTCAGGGCTGAGCCTGGGGGAGCTGCCGCCTGCCACAGCGGGGTGTCTCCCCCCCACCTGCAGGACGAGATGGAGCTCGGCTACGTCCAGGCGCCCCACAAGACCTTCCCGGTGGTCTTCGACTCCCCGAGGAACGGGGAGCTGCAGGACTTCCCTTACAAAAGGATCCTGGTGAGTGTCCCTGCCACGATCCAGCCTGAGCGCCGAGGGGCTTCACCCCAAGGGCCACGCCGTCATGTGGTGGGCGGAGCACTGGGAACCTTGTCCTTTAGGGGTGGGAGTCCGGTTGCCGGGGAAAGTGCGGGAGTTACCCAGATATGTTTGCTTGTTGGTTTTTTTAAGAGACAAGGTCTTTGCTGGGCGTGGTGGCTCACACCTGTCATCCCAGCACTTTGAGAGGTGGAAGCGAGAGGATGGCCTAAGCTCAAGGGTTCGAAAGCAGACTGAGCAACATGGCAAGACCTCATCTCTACAATAAATCAGAAAATCAGCCAGGGATGGTGGCACATGCCTGTGGTTCCAGCTCTTTAGAAGGCCGAGACGGAAGGATCGCCTGAGCCCAGCAGGTCAAGGCTGCGGTGACAGTGAGCACGCCACTGCACTCCAGGCTGGGTGACAGAGAAAGACTCTGATTCAGAAAAAAAAGAAAGACAGGGTCTTGCTCTGTCGCCCAGGCTGAAGTGCAGTGATGCGCTCACAGTTCACTGCAGCCTCGAACTCCTGGGCTCAAATGATCCTCCAACTTCAGCCTCCCTCCCCAAGTAGCTGGGACTACAGGCAAGCACCACCATGCCTGGCTAATTAAAATACATATATATTATTTTTTTGGTAAAAGTCATGCCTTGCTATGTTGGCCAGGCTGGTCTCGAACTCCTGGCCTCAAACGATTCTCCCACCTTGGCCTCCCAAAGTGCTGGGATTACAGACATGAGCCAGCACACCTGGCCCTCAGTTCAATCTGAATTTCAGATAAACAATGAGTAACTTTTTGGTAAAAGTATATCCCAAATGTTGCATGGGACATGCTTATACTTTTAAAATCTGTTGTTTATCTGAAATTCAAATTTAACTGGGTATCCTGTGTTTTCATTTACTAAGTCTGGCAGCCCTGATGGGGTGGGGGTGGGGCAGGATGGTGCAGCTGGTAAGAACACAGGTTTGGAGTCGCAACTTACATGCTGTGTGATGTTGTGTCGGTTACTTCCCGTCTCTGAGCCTCGGTTTCCTCATCGGTAAAAATGATATTGTAGCCCTGGCCTCACAGGCGTTTGTGAAGCTTCTCATTACCACAGTGCCTGCACGGAGGGAACGTGCCCCACCATTAGCTGGTGTCATTATTGGTAATAAAAAGAAGAACAGGGAAAATGATGGTTGCTGACCAGGATCCTCTGAGAGAAGAGGGGAGACTTCTTTGGTGCTGTAGGGGAGGGAGACCCCTCCAGCCTCCCATGGGTCACAGGCGTTAGGAAACCTCGCCTGGCCCTCGGTGCTGTCTGAATTCCTTCTGAGAGACGGCCCTGGAGGTCTCCCCTTCTCCAGGTTCAAGACAGGCTCAGAGAGCCATCACCAGCCTCGTGGCTCCCAAAGGCAGACCACGTGGGCTGAACTTGGCAGGACGGCCGTGCAGGGTGAGGGTGGCCATGGCCTCGGGCTCCTGTCCCAGGGCAGTTCGGGAGCAACCAGGGCCTCCCACCGTCTTCCTGGGACCTTGGGGAGGGACGCCGCCCTGGCGAGGCAGGGGGATCCCAGGGCCTGAGCCTCTCTGGCCCCTGTGCAGGTGTGAACTCTCGACTAGGTCAGCTGCCCTCCTCGGTGTCTTGACTCAATATTTCCACCTGAAGAACGGGTGGCCGCTCCCACCCTGACCCAAGGAGCTCAGAGCCAGCAAGTCGGCTCAAGCTTGACCCAGTCTCCCCTCCAGGGTCCAGATTTCGGCTACGTGACCCGGGAGCCTCGAGGCAGGTCCGTGAGCGGCCTGGACTCCTTTGGGAACCTGGAGGTCAGCCCCCCAGTGGTGGCCAACGGGAAGGCGTACCCCCTGGGGAGGATCCTCATTGGGGGTAACCTGCCTGGGTGAGAGGGCAGCGGAGGGGGGCTCCTGGGTGGGGGCTGAGGGTGGGGGGCATGGTGATGGGATGGGAGGGCCCATTTCACCAGGAAGAAGGAGGGATGGAACCGTAGTCTCGGAGGCGGGGCGTGGGAGCTGTCCACCAGACACCGTCCACACTTGCCTCGGGAGGTTTGAGAAGGCCGGAGTGCGCAGGGAGCTGGGAGATCATCCAGCCCAACCCTGTCATTTTACAAGTGGGCCCGGAGACGGTGAGCGAGCCACACAGATTGCAGATTTATGACTAGACTCAGGTCTTCAGAGTCTGAAAATAAGTAGATGATGCTAGGAGCAGAGTCTATCAGTTAATAGTAATAGAAGAAAAAGCTTCTCTTTCAACAGTCCTGGGAGAAAATGCATGTAAGTCAAAGCTTGTTCGTACTACCATGTAAATGACTACTATCAGACCTTTTCCTGAGAGCGGAAGGGAGACGTAAGACATGAAAAGTGAGACGACTGTAACACGCAGGAACAAAGTATGTGTTCAGCGCGTGACACAGGAGTGCTGATGGCAAAGAGGAGGAATTCTGTCCCCACGGTTTCTTGCTGTGGCATAGACCAAGACCTTGGTCAACCCAGTGCAGCAAAACTATTAGAAGAGACTTGGGATCAAACAGTAGCTGAGTCCAGAGTCACGCTTCGGCAGGGACTCACTGCCCTCAACCACACGATCCCATAGAAGGAGGACCCGGGCCACGTCGCGAGACTTTTTCACAAGGATTGAACATGGGGCAAAGTCGGTCTCTTGGAGGATGTGAGAAGGGGTGCGGGGAGCAGTTCTGAGGATCTTCTGGGATGGCAGGACCTGGTGGGTCGCTGCCCTGGCGTGACTGACCTATTCTGGCTCTGCCTCACCCCAAGTGGAATTTTATTTATTTTCATTTTCAAGATGTGGGGTACAGTTCAGTGTGAGGTATCCAAATGGTCTTGGGGTGGGTAAGGTTTGGGCCTCACTTTGGTCCCCACTTCACCTGGTCTGAGATCAGGTACCCTTCTTGACGAGGTGTGTGCCCGACCCCCCTCATCCCCCGGCAGCTTCCCACTACTGCCAGTCCCTTTCTTATGGTATTATGATAATTGTTCAGGGTCCACTTATAGTGAGAACATGTGTACTCAGTTCTTTGTTTCTGTGACAGATCACTCAGTATGATAAACTCTAAATCCATGCAAGTTGCTGCAAAGTTCATACTTTTGTCTTTCTTTTTGGCTGCGTAATAGTCCATCATGTATATGTACCATTTTTTTTTAAATCCAGTCCTCTTTCGATAGTTGCATGGTTGGTTCCATGTTTTTGCGATTGTGAATAGCGTTGCAATAAACATGCCTGTGCAGGTATCTTTTTCACAGAGTGATTTGAGTTCCTCCGGGTATATTCCCAGAGGGGGGATTGTGGGGTCGTATAGAAGGTCAATTTTTAGATCTTTTAGGAAGAGCCAAACAGTTTTCTACAGACGTACTACCTTACACTCCCACCAACAGTGTATAAGTATTCCCTTTTCCCTGCATCCTTTCCAGCATCTGTTGTTTTTTGAGTTGATGATGGCCATCCTGACTGGAGTTAGGAGGTATCTCTGTGTGGTTTTAATTTGCATTTCTTTGATGATTAGTGAGGGTGAGCATTTTTTTCATGTATCTGTTGGCTGCTTGTATGTCTTCTTTTGAGAAATGCCTCTTCATATCTTTTGTCCACTTTGTAATGGGGCTGTTGTTTTTTTTCTTTTCAGCACATTCGAGTTCCTTGTAGATCCTAGATGTTAGGGCTTTGTCAGATATACAGTTGGCAAATATTTTTTCCCATTCTGTGGGCTGTCTCCCTGCTCTCTTGATGGTTTCTTTGGCTTTGCAGAAGCTTTTTGGTTTGATGAGGTCCCGCTTGTCTATCTTATCTCTTATGACACGGGCATTTGGGGTTTTGATCAGGAATTGTTGCCAGTTCCAATTTCCATAAAGTTGTCTCCTGCATTTTCTAAGGTTCTCATAGTTTGAGGTTTTACGTCTAGGTCTTTGATCCATTTAGAGTTGATTTTTGTGTATGGTGATAGGTAGGGAATTTTCAAGTATACATATCTATTGTCATTCCTGCTTACACAGCAATGCATGGTTTTTTGTTTTTTATAAAAAGTCAGATATTGCAGACATCTCTGACTCTTGTGCCCCCATTTCTGCGTGGAATTTGTTTGAGTTAAGAAACTTTCTTAACCCTTGGGCCCAGGTCGAGAGGCCGCAGGGTCACCCAGGTGGTGCGGGACTTCCTCCATGCCCAGAGGGTGCAGCCCCCGGTGGAGCTCTTCGTGGACTGGCTGGCCGTGGGCCACGTGGATGAGTTTCTGAGCTTCGTCCCTGCCCCCGATGGGAAGGTGAGGCCTTGGTGGCATGTCTTTCCCCAGCATGGGGGCGGGGACTGAGCTCCGGGGGGCTAGGCCAAGGCGGGCAGCTCAGCCACGTCTATTCTCTGCACACAGGGCTTCCGGATGCTCCTGGCCAGCCCTGGTGCCTGCTTCAAGCTCTTCCAGGAGAAGCAGAAGTGGGGTCACGGCAGGGCCCTCCTGTTCCAAGGGGTCGTTGGTGGGTAACAGTGCTGGGTCCCTCATCATGGCTTGCCTGCCCCCTCGCCAAATTAAGACACCTCATAGCTTAGGAGAGGGAGGGCTGCCCCCCAAGTTCAGGACCCCTTACTCCTGCCCCCGCATGCGTGGTTGGGCCAGAGGTGGTGGATGGTAAGCAGAATGGGTACATCCGGGCTTCTTGGGCATGTGTCCAGGGCAGTTGCACGGCAGAGCTTGGTGCTATTCTGCGGTCTTAATTGCGTTTTGTAAGTGGCATCTGGTGGATCAGAGGGGCCTCTGCCGAGGCTTGGGGGCTGTCTCCCTGGACTCCCTGGGATGGGTTCTCTGCCACCCACTCCCGTGTCCCCTGGAGCCCCTGGGCCAGGCCCTCCCTTCTCTGTCACTGCCCAACGGCGCTGTAGCCTGGGTATGGGGAGGGCTGGGCGCACAGACCCCTGGGGATCTGGGGAGGGGCACGGCGTCAGTTGGCCCTGCCCTGCCAGACCTTTTGGTGGCAGCTTGGTGGGGTTACACCTCTCGCCCACCCTGGCGCATCCCGCGGAGGCTGCAGTACCGGAGGCCACCTGTCCACCGTGGCTGGGGATGGCGGGCCTGTGGGAAGGGGAGATGCCAGGCTCCACAGCCACCAGCGCCGGGCACAGCACGTGGGTCCAGTGCAGCAGAGGCCCGGCAATTGGTGGGCTGTGCACTTTGGGGCGGAGCTGCTGGCGTCCACGAGGGTCTGCCCGCCCTAGGCGTGTCCCTGTGCCTGGGGAGCAAGTGAGAAACACTGTGACAACTCAAGAGAGAGACGTGGAAGGAAGAAGCACCTCGATCGTGCCTTGATGCTACTTTTTCTAATTTGTGAACAAGGGGCTGCATTTTCCTTTTGCGTGGAAGGCACTGGGCCACCCGGGCACGCTGGCTGGGAGGGCTCTCGGCCCACCCCTCCCATTCTGCCATCCCACAGGCTCCCTGAATCCCAGAGCATCCTTCCCCCATCACGGACCCCAGGGGTGCAGGGGCAAAGGCTCTCAGGCCTGTGGGATCAGAGATTTTCTTAGTCCCACGGCCTCACGCTAGCAGACAGTGGCCTGGACCGAACCGTACTCAGAAAAGCTGCAGCACTTAGCAGCTGCCAAGCAGAACAACTTCCTGAGCCCCCCTGCTCCCTGCTGCTGGCATCACCTTCTTTCCC